ATTCTGCTTTAGCAATAGATCGTACAACTCTCTTTTGTATGAGGAACAGCCTATGCAAATTTGTTACATACGATGACCCCCATACCAGATTGCAGTAATGTAAATAAGGATAAACTGATGCATAATACAGCGATAACAAACTTTTTTGGGCAGATAGAATCTGCATTTAAATATAACACCAGCTGATTTTGCTATTTTCGTAGCCAGCTTGCTGATATGAGGTTTCCAAGATAAATGCTGGTCAAAGACTAGTACGCCCAAAAATGAAATCTGCGTTAGCCGTTCTAACTGTTTACTGTCTATGCTTGGTGGTTCGATTATTACATTTTCTTTTTTAAATGTTTTAAATATCATAAAATTTGTCTTTTTAATGTTTAGCGATAGTTTGTTGGCTTTGAACAATGAGTTCATTTTGTCAAGTTCAGTATTTGCTATATCGGTCAGACATGTGGAATCTTTGTGTGAGATCAAAATATTAGTGTCATCTGCAAACAAAAAGATCTTTGAAAGACTAGATGATACACTATAAAGATCATTTTTATAAAGCAGAAAGAAGACTGGCCCTAATAGCGAACCTTGTGGCACCCATACAAGAGTTTGAGGAGCAGAACAGGATTTGTTGAATTGGACAAATTGTTTTCTATTGTGAAAATAACTTTTGACCCAGTCTAATGCGATACCACGAATACCATAAAAATATAACTTGTCAAATAAAATCTCATGGTCCACCGTGTCAAAAGCTTTTGATAAATCAAGGAAAATTCCCATTACGAGTCCTTTGCGATCAAGCGAAGAAGTGATGTTATCGATCAAATGAAGCATGGCTAGACAAGTAGAATGGTTTTTTTCTAAATCCGTATTGATGCATATATAAAATATCTTTTTTATTGATAAAGTCGGATATCCTATTGTAAATTATTCGTTCAAGAAATTTGGAGAAACAGGGCAGAAATGATATCAGTCTATAATTTGAAAACCAGGAGGGTTCTTCTTTTTTGTAGATTGGAATATAAGTCTGGCAACTTTCGTATTATTGGGGACAATGCCAGAAGAGAGTGTAAGGTTAATTATATAAGTGAGAGGTTCACAGATATGATAGATGAATTGTTTCACAGTTGTTATTTTAATTCCATCGTACCCTGAAGCTTTTCCAGATCGGAATGTCCGAGATGTATCAATTACTTCTTGTATTGTTGCTGGGATTAAAAATATAGATTCCCCAACGTTGCCACGTAAATAACGTTTTGGAGATACCGATGAGGAAGGTATTTGGTCAACTAAATTTTTACCAACACTAGTAAAATAACTACAAAATTTATTTGCGATTTCGGTAGGGTCAGAAATTTTCTTATTCCTATACTGCAATTTTGAGGGGAATTTAGGTTTTGAATTACGCTTGTTTATAACTTCATTTATTAATTTCCAGGTTTGTTGAATATTATTACTAGTGTTGTTAATTTTACTTTCATAATAGAGGAGTTTGGATGTTTTCAATAAGTGCGTAAGTTTGTTTTTATAAGTTTTATACTTCTGATTATTATGTATTAGGATTGCTAAGAAAACGTTTGTACAGTTTATTTTTACGTTATATCGACTTCAAAATAGCTTGCATGGCAGGCGGTCCCTAAAATCGGCCAAGCCTGGGAAAGACCACCTGCTGGGTTTGGCAGTGTAATCGAATTCCCCGTCCACCAGTGGACGGGAATTGATGATTGGCTGCGAGTCTGAGTTGCTGTCGCTCAAAAGTGAATACACTTTAATATGTAAACATACGTTTAACACTTTAATGATGCATGCGTTCGCTTTAATAGCTGTTGTAAAACTGAACGCTTCTCGAAAGTCGAAACGCGAACTGATTGTCAAACGCGAGCAAGAGATAGCAGTTAAAGATTTACTCCTTGGAAAGAATGTTTTGGCCGTTCTATGGGAAAAGCTTGATTTTTACATTGTTCTTGTTGGCGCGAGAAAATATAACGAGAATAGAATAATAGATACAGACGGCCGTATAGTCTTTCTTGCAACGGGTTTTATAACAGGACTATTACGCATAGGCCTATTAGCCGTTTCACTTTCTGAACTTTTTAAGGCTTTCGTTACCACACAGCTTTGTTAGAGAGACGAGACAGTTCATATTGGCAACTGAGGTTTTTACACACAGTCACAGGCAACGCGTTTATGTCTCGTTTGATTATGGCAATCAGTTCGCTTGCATTTCGAATATTTCGCTCACACGGTTTACAAACTTGGTCGGATAGTTCCGAGGTAGAATTAACTTCGATTCCTAAATGAACTGAACCGGCAATTCGGCTTATTTCGGCCAAGGTTTTGCCACTGTCGTAACGTTTCTTTTGCTTGCCTTAAATGAATAATTTCTCCGACGATATATAGTGGTCATTTACATTTTCCGCGCTTGCTTTTCTACCTCTTGTCGTTATTGATTGAAACTTTCAATGGCGTTTCTTTCGACATATTTTATATTTGCAATTTTGCGATCAGACAATAACATAGTTTGAGTGTTTGACAGTTTGATTATTAATATATTTAGTGTTTGCTGATTGGCTAATTGGACTTGGACAAAAAAGTGGGCGGTTATCAAATTACATTGCCAAACCCAGCAGGCGGTATTTTAGACACCGCCTGCCATGCAGGCTAATTTCAAAAGGACATCAGTGATCCATGGTTTTTCGATTTTGCTTATGGCCTTTCTATTTGAGCGACAAAGCGGGAAACAATTATTATAAATTAAGCAGAATTTGTTCACAAGAGCATTATATGCTTCATTTGGTTCATTAGAGTTATAAACTTCAGACCAATTGGTACTTTGTAACGCAGTATTAAATTTAGTTTTATTAGTTTCATTAAAATTTCGGGTTAATATCGTTTTATCTCGTTGATGAGTTTGGGAGATGTTACTCCAACTAGTATCTGAGATAACAAAGACTGGGAAATGATCTGATATGTCTGTAGACAAAAGACCACACTTTAAGATATATTCATGGTCATTAGTAAAGATGTTATCAATAAGTGTGGCTGAATTAGCAGTAAGTCTCGAAGGTAGCGATATACAAGGATACATCATAAAAGAAAGCATGCTGTCTAAGAATTCACCCATTTTTGTATGAACTTCATGGTTCATGATGTTCAAATTCATATCACCTGCCACATAACAGACTTTATTTTCTTTGGAAATGCGAGATATAATGCTGCTGAGGGTGGTAGTGAATGTTTCAACGTTGTTATTTGGCGGCTTATAAACCACACCAGCAATTATGTTTTTCCCAATAGGATTAGAAATTTCAATGAAAAGTTCTTCAAGGACTTCGGAATAATTATAATTTAAATCATCACGAATTTTATATTCGTATTTGTTGTCTAGATAAAAAGCAACACCGCCACCTGACGTTCCGATGCGGTTTTGGCTAATAAAATTATACCCAGGCATGTCAAAGAAACAAGCATTTTCGTTTAGCCATGTTTCGGTAAGACCAATAAGAGTAAATTTATGATGAATGCAAAACAAATAGTTCGAAAGATTATCCATGCTGCACGATAGGCTACGTACTATTTAAATGCATGACAGTAAAAAAAGCTGAATCGGCAGTTGCAGAATCCATAATGTGTTATGCGGATCAAGATCGTGAAAACAATTGGATTTAAATTTCTTAAATAAAGGGTTGAAGGCGAGCGAGGATAGCCTGTCAAAATCATAGTTTAGAGAACCATTAACCAACTCATGGATTGCTAGTTCAAAGTATTCATCGTCGAGATGATTGAAAGGAAATAATGAAATCAAGCAGTTTGAACAAAGCCAAGAATGCAAACAAGTCTCTAGCTTGGCCTGTGATAAATAATTTAAGCTTGTACGTTTTAAATGATAATTTGCTCGGCAATGACTACAGAGAACGGTTCGCAAATTCGTGTTGGTTGATTTACAACAAAAATTACAACTTAGATTGTTATAAGACATTTTAAGAAAAAGTACTTACATTAGGAATGACAAAGAGGAGTGTTCTCAGTAGTAAACCTATTTAAATAATGCAGCTTTTTCTTTTGCATCAGATACCAAACAATTATTCTCAATAAGTGTCGGTGTTCGGAGCATTGGATTTTGCTTCCATATAACGACTTAACTATGCTCCACCACTTTTTCGGTCCTATTTTTGGGTTCTGTAATTTTGCATTAAGAGTATCGTAATAGATTAGCTTGCGTTTGCGTATAAGTATTGTAGTAAAATTTCTTTGCCTTCTATAAATTTCCCAGGCTTCTGGACTCTTATGTCTACAGTAATATTTTAGCAATCTATTTCTTTTCCGAATTGCCCTCCTAATTTCAGAATTAACCAAGGTTTATCCCTTGGACGAATTGTAACTGTTCTATGTGGAACATGCTTTAAAAGTACTTGATAAAAGCATTTAAACCATTCAGCATATAAGTTATCAATATCGTCATTGCTTAGGAATATATAATTCCAATTTACATTTGAAAGCGCTTCTTGCAAAACGTTTTCATCCATTCTTGACAAATCCCAAACATGACGGGTATAGGATTTTAGTTTAACAAAAGAAACATTCATTCGAGCATAGATTAATAGGTGGTCACAGTTGCTTGGTGGGCTTAGAGTACCAGAATTTACGAAGTATCCCGGCGAATTTGTTATTATAAGGTCCAATAGTGTAGCACCTGTAGTGATATATTGTTACGTCATGTAACATAAATATAAGAACACAAGAACACGTGATAACATTATGCAGGCTTATACAAAAACATGGCGAAAGGCCCAATATAGTTTGTAAACTTATTCTTTGTAATCGTTGATATTATATGGCAATCCTAATAAACTAAATACGAAACACAACATGGTGTCAAAGAGTGGGATCTGATCAACAGTCCACAAGGAAAAGAAACGTAAATCAGGCTTGGTAAGTCAAAATATTTCGTACAATACGAACAGACATTTACTTGTTAGTATTCGAACGATATTAAATAAACGTAAGGAGACATGGCCACTGGGTTTACCCCACCAACAATGAACTGGAATGCTTCAGACATTCCAGACGAGTTTAATTCCTTTAAGCAATATTGCAACCTTGTATTTGATGGGCCATTTCTAAAGAAAACAGAAAAGGAAAAAGCATCTTATATTTTACTATGGATTGGGCGACAGGGAGTCGATATTTACAATAGCTTCGTATGGGAGAACGAACAGGACAAAGTGAAGCCCAAAGCCATACGGGAGGAATATGGGAAACACCTCGCGCCAAGAAGTAACTATAGGCTAGCATGATTTCAATTACAACAGGCTATGGAAAATAGCGAAATCCTCTGGGAGTCCTAATAAATGGTCCAATTATAAAAAATTGAATAATGAAGTTAAAGATAAATTAAGGAAAGCTTACTTCAGATATGTTAATAATCTTACAAACTCCCTTGGGGCGAACCCAAAGAAGTTTTGGACTTTTGTCAAGTCCCGCACAGGTACATCAAGTGTTCCAAAAACAATCGAATTTAATGGCCTTAAAGGGTACAGTCCTTCATCAATTGCCCATCTTTTTAACACATTTTTTCATTCTGTATTCAATAAACGTGACGAATCATCGGTCCCGTACTACACATTGTATACAAATCATATCATTAAAAACTTGGTATGTTCAGTAGACGATGTTGCTAGTCTATTATCTGAATTAGATATTACTAAATCTTCCGGTCCAGATAACATTTCACCAAGGATTTTAAAAGAATGTGCTTATGAACTCGCTCCTTCCCTGACTCGTATATTCAATTTATCACTGAGTACTGGTGAGTTACCTAACGACTGGAAAACGGCAAATGTAGTACCAATATATAAGGCAGGTGAACGTGTTATGGCTGTGAACTACCGTCCAATCTCTCTCACGAGTATTGTTGTTAAAACCTTAGAACGTATGGTTCACAAACATATTATGAATTTTCTCTCAGAGTTGCGCCTATTATGTGAAAACCAACATGGCTTCAGAAAGTTTCGATCATGTCTTACGCAACTGCTACAGCTAGTACACCACTGGTTCTCGGTGCTGGATAAACAAGGCGCAATTGACGTTGCATTTTTAGACTTTGCGAAAGCGTTCGACAGGGTATCTCATCCACATCTCATCAATAAGCTTAAATCTTATGGAATAAGTGATCCGCTAATAAAATGGATAAATAATTTTCTATCTGGCAGAAAACAAAGGGTTGTGATTGATGGTCATCAATCAAATTGGTTAGAGGTCACTTCAGGAGTTCCCCAGGGAAGTATCATAGGACCTTTAATGTTTCTTGTTTACATCAACGACTTACCTTCAAGTGTGACTAGTAATGTTGACCTTTTCGCTGACGATAGTGTTATTCATCGTCAAATTTCTACAAGTAACGATTGCGTCCTTTTTCAAGAAAATTTGAATCAAGTAGGAGATTGGTGTGATGCATCGTTAGTCCAGTTGAAGAACGAAAAATGTCGAATTGTTCATGTCACAAGGCAAAAAAAACTTTGAACTATGAGTATAATCTTGTTGGTATACCATTACAGAGTGTTGCACAACATAAACACCTAGGGGTTTGGTTACAATCCTCATTATCTTGGGAATATCACATTAGCTCTATCTGTGGACGAGCTAATCGGATCTTGGGTTTAATACGGAGAACATTTGGCTACAAAAATCGAAAAGGCGTTGAGGTTGCCTTTAAGTCCTTAGTAAGACCAATTTTAGAATATTGTTGCCAAGTATGGAATCCATACTTAATTAAACATGTAAATGCAATGGAAAAGATTCAACGGCGAGCTACCAGATTAATATGTGGCCCAGATCAACCCTATACGGAAAGACTAAAGAAGCTCAAGTGGCCGTCGCTTGAGTTGCGTAGAAAGTACCTTTGTCTTGTTCAGTTATATAAGATCATGTTTGGTTTGTGTGATATTGACAAATTTAAATATCTGGATATTGTGGGAGAATCTCGTACTAGATCAAGACATAGATATAAACTAAGACCAAAGCATGCACGTACTAATTACTTTAAGTTCTCGTTTTTCAATCGCTATATCTCAGACTGGAATTCTTTGCCATCGGATGTTGTGGAAGCCACTTTATTGTCCAGCTTTAAGCAAAAACTAATGTCGTTTCTACTCCTGAAACAATGTTAACTTATTCTATTCTATTTTTTTCGGGTTTTTATTATTATTTTGGTTTAACGTGGAGAGCAGTTCATAAATAGGAATTTAGTTTCCTCCTACTGCTATCCTCCCTATGACATTTGTTAGTGTGTATGTACGTCATTTTGTAATATTTATTATTAGTTTTTCTATTTTTGTTTATTAATAGGGAAAGATTTATTAAATCATTAAATCAACAATTGAGACAAGAACCAAACGAAAACATTGACGATTTTATGACCAGATGCAGAAACCAGGCAGCAAAATGTAAATTTCGAGATCAACAGGAAACGAACGAAAGATTAATTGAACAATTAGTAATTGGAACAAGACATAAGAAAGCACAAGGAAAAATACTCGAAAAAGATGAAAATCTGAGCTTAGACGAAGCAATAGATTATGCCAGAACATATGAAGCTACCATAGCTCATGTTGCTCAATTAAATAAAACAAGTGAAATTCAGAAATCCGTACATGCACTATCAAAATTCGCAAAGCCTAAACAAAAATGCCAGAACTGCGGAACTGAGCATGAAGCTAGAAAATGCCCAGCCTACGGGACAAGCTGTAACTTTTGCTCAAAGCCAAACCATTGGGCAAAAATGTGTCGCAAGAAAATAAACAAAACACCCCACTACCAAGCTAGACCAGGAAGCCAAAATCCCAATGAGGGCAAACAAACTAGATACAGCCAAGGACAAGGTCGAAACAATAATAGGCGGATCCATGATTTGAATGTAAACAACGAGTCAAGTGATGAATTCGATACACTAGTTTTTGACACGATCACAGTTGACAGTATTACACCTGACTCAAACAGCCAAACCAAAGATGAAGCACTAGTCATGAGCAACATCGAACTGCCAAATAATACCCATAACACACAATTGAGAGCTAAAGTTGACACAGGTGCTCAAGCAAACATCTTACCACTAAGATTATACCGTAGCATGTTCCCAGCGAATATCAGTTATGATGGTAAACCCAAGATAAGTGCAGTTAAAAAGTCCACGACCACCCTTACAGCATACGGGGGTACTCCAATTCCACAATTTGGTACATGCGAAATAAAGTGCTCATACAAGAACAACAGCACAAGCGCTACATTCTATGTGACTGATGTACACAGTAGAGCAATTATTGGATTACCAACTGCACTAGATCTTCACTTGATTACGTTGAACTGTTCAGTAGTGAAATCGCAAGTACAAGAGACCTCGCCTACTAAGGACACGGCAAAGCTTAAACCAATTAAGCACTTGCATAAATAATAAATCTCACCTGATTGCACAATACCCAAATTGTTTCAATGGGATTGGCAAATTCCAAGGGGAATATCACATCACCTTAGACCCTTCAGTTCCACCTGTCATTCACCCACCCCGACGCGTACCCATTAGCCTTAACATTATTACCAAAGTTCGAGAAGGTGAACCCACAGCATGGGTCAACAGTCTAGTTTACCGAAGGAAACCCAATGGGAGGCTAAGAATATTCCTGGATCCGAAAGACTTGAATGCTGCTATCCAACGTGACCACCACGTTACACCAACCCAAGAAGAAATCCTACCAAACTTGAATGGTGCTACCCATTTCTCTATCCTCGACGCAAGAAGCGGCTACTGGAATGTGACACTAGATGAAGAATCCAGGTATTTAACAACATTTAACTCGCCCTTCGGGCGATATCGATTTAAACGAATGCCATTCGGTTTAAAGATGTAACAAGATGTCTTTCAATAAAAAATAGATCAAACCTTTGAGGGCTGCAATGGGGTTGTGGGAATCGCTGACGACATAGTGGTCTTTGGCAAGACAGTGGAAGAGCATGATGAAAACCTACATGGTATGATGGAGAGATGCCAAAACACCGGTCTAAAGCTCAACCCTGAGAAATGTTTCATAAAGCAGAAACAAATCAAATTCTATGGAGTTATATGCAATTAAGAGGGTATTAAGCCAGATCCATCCAAAGATTCGGCCTTGAAACAGATGACAAAGCCCAGAGATCGTCGTGAGCTCCAGACATTCCTTGGGCTAGCCACATACATGGGTCCTTTTATCCCAAACCTTAGCTCAATTACAGCACCATTACGAGAAATCCTAAAGAAGAAGAATACCTTCGAATGGAATGAAAACTACCAACGAGCATTTGACGAAGTTAAACAAGCCATCAGTGAAGAGACCACCTTAAACTATTTCGACAGCACCAAAGAAGTTGTTCTACAAGTAGACGCTTCAACAAAGGGTCTCGGAGCAGCACTAATACAAGAAGGGAAACCTGTTGCGTTCATTCACAGACGTGGAGACCAGATATGCCAATATCGAAAGGGAAATGCTGGCTGTTGTATATGGATGCGAACGTTTCCACACCTATTTGTTTGGACGACCAGTAATTGTCCATACTGACCATAAACCGCTCGAGAGTATCCACCTGAAACACCTCACGTCTGCACCACCCCGACTGCAACGTATGCTACTCCGGTTACAACCCTACGACCTAACTATCAAATATATTCCAGGAAAAGACATGCTACTAGCAGTAGCAGATGCTCTGTCACGATTATCCCCTGAAGAAAAGAGCCCAGTGAAAGATATGAACGTGGAAATTCACGAAGTTTGCCCACAGTTTAGCAGCGAAATGATCGAGAACGTCAAACTAGAAACAACTTCTGATCAGGAGCTGATGATGCTCAAAACGATTGTGCACGAAGGCTGGCCAACATCAATTAAAGAAGTTCCACAAGTTCTCAAACCGTATTGGTGCTACAGAGACGACATTAGTATTGAAGATGGAATACTCATGAAAGGGCAAAGAATCATTATACCATCAACCCTTCAAGTCGAAATTCTTGGAAAACTTCATGCAGCACATCAAGGTGCAGAGAAAACAAAACTTCGTGCCAGAACATCCGTATTTTGGAGAAAGATGAACGAAGATATCGACAAAATAACAAAATCTTGTCGTACCTGCCAAGAATTCCAACCAACGCAAACCCGACAACCACTCATCCCAACAGAGATACCACCTCGCCCTTGGCATACAATTGCCACTGATCTGTTCTATCTTGATAACACAGAATATTTGCTTGTTTCCGATTATTACTCCAAGTACCCATTTGTGAGGAAAATCCCAAAAGGGCAGAGCAACAGCAAGACCATTATAGCGATCCTAAAGCAGATATTCAGCGAACAAGGAATCCCAGAAGTCGTTCGTTCTGATAACGGTCCACACTATTCCAGCAAGGACTATCGCGAATTTGCTAATGAATACGGGTTCCAGATAGTAACAAGTTCACCCCATTATCCCCGAAGTAACGGGTACATTGAAAGTCAAGTGAAGACAGTGAAAGCAATATTAGCTAAAGCTAAGAAGACCGAAACTGACCCGAACATTGCTCTGCTTTGCTTGCGCTCCACACCGATAGACAATGCGTTACCATCACCAGCAGAACTGCTCATGAAAAGGAAACTTAAAGACAATTTACCGCGGAAAATTACCAGGGATCACAATAGTGATGACATTATAACCAGATTAGAGCAAAGGCAGGAAAAGCAAAAACAATATCATGATCAACACGTGAAACCTCTTCCTGCTCTACAGTCAGGACAATCTGTCAGTGTCCAAAATCCGTCAACTAACAAATGGAGTCCAGCAAGCATAAAGGAAAAGATTCTCAATATCCCAAGATCTTATCAAGTCAACACACCAACTGGGCAATTGAGGCGCAACCGAATCCACCTGCGAGAAATACCATCTAGGCCACAATCAAGCACAACCACCAACAATCCTGACAACAGCAACAATCCTGACAACAGCAACAATCCTGACAACAGCAACAACACGTCATGTAGAGTAACAACTCGAAGTGGACGAGTGGTAAAACCACCAGACTATTACGCATGAACTGCATGATACTAAGAACAATATTTTTATTAATTATAGTTGACATTGACTTTGTTTTGTTATAAGGGAAAGAGGGATGTAGTGATATATTGTTACGTCATGTAACATAAATATAAGGACACAAGAAAACGTGATAACATTATGCAGGCTTATACAAAAACATGGCGAAAGGCCCAATATAGTTTGTAAACTTACTCTTTGTAATCGTTGATATTATATGGCAATCCTAATAAACTAAATACGAAACACAACAGCACCCTCCGATGTTATACGTGTTGGTTCATTTATGAATACTTAAGGAGGTAAATACTTAAGGAGGCTCTGCGGAGGAGAGAGCGACACTTCGTTGACTGAACCACAGTTAATAAAATAAGAATTAATTATTAATTAATTATTATTAACTGTGACTGAACGAAGTATAGGAGCAGGTCCTCCAGTTATTATACAGCTCAGTGTTTCAGATCAGTGGTTACAATGCATGCCGGGAAGAGCCTCCAACGTCCTCTGTTTAAAAAACCAGAGGTTAGGGACCGATCGTTTATTACGTCTCAGGGGGGGGGCGGTGGTTTTTTTAAAAACATTATCAATAAAATATGCACCCCCCCATATTTTTTGGAAATGAAAAAATGACCCCCCTGTTCAACTATATAGATTAAAATTTAAAAATATACCCCCCCCCCAATTGCACTAGGCATTTCTAGGCATCAAACCTCAGTGCATCAAATATTCAAATTATAAGGCCTCGCGAAATTGCTAATTCAATATAATATCGAGTCATATATAAAAGCAAGATTGTGTATTTTGGCATTCAATACAAAACAGGAAAACGTTATACAAAAATATCATATTAATGAATGATATAAACATGTAAAAGTAAAAATGCAATAATATTTATATATTATTATAAAATGTAGATAAAAAATACCTTTTTTGAAACATTTTCCGCCATGATTTTTTTCAGGTGTAAACCATATGGTGTAAACCATTGACTGTAATCATTCCGTTCAGCGGAGTCACTAAGGGCCTGTTCATATGATCCCGCTTACCAGGACGTCTCGCTTACCGATGATCTCGCCGCCTATCTATTTTCCTATAAAATTTTGCATTGTGTTCATATGAGAAAGCGACCTGGCCCGCTTGCCGAGATCTCGTTTGAATTTGCCGAGATCATAGGTAGGCGGTATGAAAATTCTTCCATATGAACACGCCAGCCCGCTTACCTGGATGAAGTCAAACAAGTCTTGCCGGTTTAATTTAACACTTTTTACTTGGTTTTATGTTTGTTTTGTAAACAAGTATTAAATAAGCATCTGAAGAAATACTTTTTCTTGTAAATAAACGAAGAAAAACACTAAAATCGCTAAGTATTTGTGTTGCTTGACTGAAATGTAGAAGTTTTGCATACGCTATTAATTATAGAACTATACTACAATGTAATTTCATCTCGGCAAGCGGGACGAAATATTCCATATGAACGCACGGAAATATTCGTCTCGGTAAGCGAGACGTCCCGGTAAGCGGGATCATATGAACAGGCCCTAAAAACCATTGAACTAAACTTTCAACTATAAAGAGTTGAATGCTAAGAACTAGATTCCAGTCTTCTCTATGCAAAAATTGCACACAATGGCGCAATCTTGCTTGATTAGTTTGTATTTGTTTTTCTTTTTTTCAAATTCAAAATGGTAGATATATTTTGAATTTCATCTCATAAACCAAATAAAGTCATTTTAATATGTAAGAATCGTTTGCAATTTCAAAATTTAACCCCCCCTCTTTTCCTTTCGGGAAACAAAAAACTACCCCCCCAAAATAGCCATATTTAAAAAATTAACCCCCCCTCAAAAACCACCGCCCCCCCTGAGACGTAATAAACGATCGGTCCCTTATAAACACTTCGTTCAAAGGGCGACATTTTTTACGGTGTGCAGGCAACGCCGAGGAACGAATCGGGTGCGTATTGGCGGGAAATGTTAAATGGCAAATATTCATTTTGTAAACATGGACGTGTATAATTATTGAATGGACATGTACTAGAAATTGTCTGAATTTTTGGTCGTATAAAGTTTTAAAAGTTCAAGTTGACACGATGGAAGGTAGGATGGATTAGGTTTTGATAACATTAGATGCGTTTTAGTCGTTCTTGAAGCAAATATGAAGTATGAATTAAAGAAATTTGTGCCTTTTCATATTAATTGGATTCAAATATTCAATAATACAATATGTTAGTATAAGGTTATAAACAGTATAACCCGACTATCTCGAACAGCCAATGGAAACAACATAAAGTTCTACAATTATTGTGGGGGATAACCAAATCAGTGTCAAATTATACAAAGAATGATTAAATATTAACCCATTGAG